CATCATCATCATCATCATCATCATCATCATCATCATCATCATCATCAAAACCCGTTAGGCACCCCGACATTCTCGGTGGCTCCGAGTAGAAGATACAGATTCAGCTTAGCGGAACTTGCAAGCTTGGACTTACATGAACGAAACTCACAAAGTCTCATGAATAATTGTCCGTTTGGATTTGCCAGACTTTTGAACCTCCACTCCAGCGAAACACGATAAAACCCCTCCAAAGCTATCCTTTTCAAGAGTTCTGGCTCCGTTTGCCCACGACTCCCATTTGTTCGCTTCTCTTGCACTAAGATTGCGGTTGAGATGGGCCCAACCTCTTGTGTCTCCATCTCAGCCGGACGTGGTTTGCAGACGGAATGACCAGCGAGTGGTGACAAACCAGTAGGCTTACTATTATTACCAATAACATATATGAACATATGTACAGTCTGTATATATATATATACATATGTTTAGACCATGTGTGATGTGAAGCCGCATTTAGCTACTGAGGATCCAGAGAAGATGTCCAACCGATGCCAATCCAATGTGAGAGGAGATTCTGAACCGATGCCAACTCCAAGGTTTGGGTCATTTGCCTGGCAGGGGGCCTTAGATGGCCTGAGTGCTTTGGGAAAATCAGTGATCGAAAGCGTGCAAGCAGCTTAGCTTGAGAGTGTCAAAAAGGTTGAGGAGAGTCCAAGGCAAAAACACTCAGTTGGCCCTCGCAGCCTGTCAACCTGCCAACTTTCCTGAGATCATGGCAGCGATTTGGCGGTCCAAGAAGCTGTTCGCGGCAATGATCATCTATCAAGGCAAGCGAGGGAGAACATTGAATTTTTGCTCCGAGAACCACCGGAGGAATTTCATGACAGAATGGAATTCGTAACTGTACGGAGAGGGCAATGCGGAGAGAAAAACAAGAGAGATAGAGGGAGAGGGAGAGAGAGACATGGAGAGGTAAGATGTGGGTGTGGATCAAGAAAGCCAATAACATTGCACAGATTGATCGCACTGGTAGTTAGACTGGAAGAGCCATGGGCACAAGACAACTTCCCGTAAAGATGGGCATAAACAGGATCTGTAATATATATATATATATAAATGGACGTATATTTGACAGCCAACACATTCATACAGTTGATTCTCCATTGACGAGCACCATACATAAGAAAATGCTCGGACACGCCACTTGAGCTTGTCATCCCACGTATGGGAAGACTGGATAGAGGTGTGCGGCTTTGCTCCCCAGGTGATGCAGGCTATACTCCATCATCATCATCATCATCATCATCATCATCATCATCATCATCATGTATATGAGAATCATATATATATATTATACAACTATATGATCATCAAGAATAGCATCATTCCCCGGAGCTTCAAGGAATTGGTAGTGCCATTTGCAGATACTTGTCCGGGCGCCAACCTGTCAGAAGTTTGGCCGTTATGGGGGGCGGGTTGGTGTTACACATGCAACAAGAAAGCCATTGGCTGCTTTTTGAACATCAAGCAGAAAGAACCAACTCCTGGTTAGCGGAAATGGAACACTCTTTGCAGGCATTCGAATTCAGAGAAAACTGGGTGTTAGTTAGTTTGTTTTTATCGTTATACTTCCGATACTTATATAAACATACTGTAGGTACACTAGTACACCCCCCGTATGGTGGATTCGTTTCAATTGGTTTCATTCCCACAGAGATTTTGTTGTCCTGCAGTTGAACTTCAAAGATTCTGGGCTGGAAAGTGCTGTGGGAGGTTCAGCAGCTGCGAAGTGGAGGGCAGAAACTTTGTAGAAGCGGTTCACAACAGCTCCGACAAAAAGGCAAAGAACATGCTGGAATAGTTTTCACAATGGCTCACACCTAGTTTCCAATTTGGATTATACGGATTGGCTTACTGTATATTTCTCACCACGCACGAGAAGACAAACTGGAGCCCGCTGCAGATGTTCCCTGAGAGAACAAGGCACAGGTCTCGCAAAGGATCAAGATTGGTTTACTGCTCGATGAGGCTTACATTTTTCTATCCATTCTGTGGTCATTGCAGTCGAGATGAGAGATGTAGCTTGTGTGTGTGCTTGGGTTATAAGTTATAAATGAGATTGTCTCATGCAACTGCACGACTAGCCTGACGAACCGTTCAACTCGCTGTGGACGCTGTGTTCATGGGATGGGGGCCGAAGCAAGCTGCTGCAAGAAAGAGGAGATCTTAGAGGTAACGAATGTGGTGCATCAGAAAGGAGACGAGGCAAGGCCGGTGTCGTCACAGGACAAAGGCCGGTATATAACGGTATGAATCTGGTCGCCTCGGGCCTTCACTAATCCCGGCTCACAACTCCAATATTTAACCAAACTCCAATCCCTTGTGGAATCCTGAGTGCTTTCCAATGGCTTTTCTTCCATATCTTCAGCCCATCTCTTCATAAGTTAAGAATCTGATCTTGCTCTTGATTTGGCCGCAAATCACCCAGAATCCCAAACCCACTTCCAGAAAAGAAGTGTTCTTTGATGCAATTCTTTAAAACACCTACCAAAAATACATGTTCAAGCTTCCATAACCCCTCCATTCGTCACCACCCCGAATTCATTTGGTCTCTCCCCAGCCTTGGAAATAGTATCCCATAGTTTATGATTTGCCTAATCAAGTATAATAGATTCACCACACAAAACAATTCATGAACAGATTTACTGTAGTCTTGGGGATCACTCCTCATCAATAGATTTAGTCTTTGGGGCCTTCCTTCTCAAACCACTTTGTAGTCCCCTTGTACGTGGACCAGAAGAAGCACCGCAAACGTGTTTGTCAAGTTTGTGCTATTTCTTATACTGGACCACAGCGGTGACATTCCAATGTTTGACCCCATTACCAGTAGGTCCTCATCATTAGGTCCATCCTTGGGTTTACAGACCATCCTGATGTGTGTTTTTTCAGACCTGTCGGGTTTTGAGCTTGTTTGGCCCGCTTCTGGAGGGAGGCTGTCGGAGAGACTCCACACTGATGTTGAAACCTGAACCTGTGTGAACCTGTTTTGGTGCCAGGACGTACCAGATTCGCCAGATCCCAGAGATCCTTTTGCAGTCCTGGGCCCACAGGGCACATCTCAGCCTTCGCTTCACAGTCAGATCTCTGTCCTCACGGAGGTGCCAAGCCTTCGCGTCTGGGCACAACAGTTGGGTGGGAGGGAATCAGGATGAATTCGGAGTCCTAGGAGGTCAGTGAACCTCATTCATTAAAACCTTTGCAGGGGTAAAGAGAGAGAGAGAGAGAATATATATATATATAATATATATATATATACATGTATATCCTTTCATGCTAATCTTGACATTACATTTAAAAAAGGTTTGGTAATCTAGAAATGTGACATGAAATAGACTTTATGGGGACAAGGTGTGTCGCATCTCAGCTCAGGAGCAGATCAGGATCTGATGCGTGGGATCTCGCTACACAAATCTCTCAGGAAGTTTGGCCGAGCATCCTGTCATAGACACACATCATAAACCATGGACATGAGCAGACGAGTTTAACCTAGTTTCTCTTAAATTTTGGGCATGGCTACACTTGTCGGGAGCTTCGGAATGAATGTGCCTCCGAGCGTCTATCATGTTTTCTACGATGGTTGTTGCATTGTATAATGTGCAGTATATGTGCATTTGTATGTTTTCACACCGGATAAGCAAATCCAAGGTGTGGAGGACGAAACCCAGCAGATTGACAGAAGGAGATCATCAAGTGCTCTCGAAGGTTTGTGTCAAGGACCCGCCCAGTCCTGGTGTGAAGATTCTTTTAGATGTTGTGCGTTTGTTGGCAAAAGAACAAGGAATCTTTGGACCAATCCTTCCGAAATTGAAGGATGTGCGACAGTCTATTAGTCTATCGACACCTTGTTCATTTGGTTCCAACGCTTTGATCCAATACGGCTGGCGGCGGCCCTTTCTTTGGCCGGAGGTTGATCACTTCGATGTGTTCATCTCGCACACCTGGGAGACCAATGGCCGATGGACGCGCGGCTGCAGAGGGAAGCAGAACTGTAAAGCAAATCAGGGGGGGTGACTCCCGAAGGTTTGCAATAACTGTTGATTTCTCCGGTTCCCTAAGGGTGTAGCCAACAATCCAGATTTGGCACACAGACAGACACATCATGACACATCTTTGAAAGAGCTTTAGACAGCTGATTGTAGATTATTTAGGGCGGACAATGGTCGTGATAATCAGACATTGACATAGATCGAGGCAAACTCCATCAATTGATCAAGATACCTCGTTTCGCTGGCAGATTGTTCTTGTTGCTTGCAGGTCAACTGGTCGGCATGGTAAACCTGTATTGCACAGGGAAAGGATCACGTGTGATCAATGAACGCTTCGCTCAGGAAGATTTTGGCCATGATGCTGCAGCAAGGATGGCCTTACATGATTATCTTGTGGCTGGTGTATAGCGCGTTAGCTGGGAGCCTGTTTTTGTACACCGACCTGCTACCGTACAACTCTGTCTTTCCGATCCAGTCCTTCAACTGGTCAGGCAGGTGATGATGGATGACGCGGAAGGATATAACAAGCAAGCGCAGCCTCTTCTACCTTTGTTCGTTATATAATGTTTATGATTCTTCAACACCGATGATGTTTTCCTGGGCACTATGTCATGACCAAGTCACCACGCGCTGCCAGTGCGTTGCGCGTAGGTTGGGGCGTGCTTGGGTGCTGGATGCGAGTGAGCGGCTTGCTGGGAATGGTCACTGGCCTTTTCATGGCCCCATACTGGCCTCGATGTCGTTCCACTTTGGCCTTTGTGGACGTGGCAGCTGGCTCAGAACAGGGAGAGGTTGAGAGAGAGAGAGAGAAAGAAAGAAAGACAGAAAGAAAGAAGAAAACAAAAGGGGGGTATAGCTTGCAGGTGGATTCAGAGTTTGAAGTTCGAATGAATGGGGAGCCTGAATCTGAGGTGAGCATTGATCAAATTGATCCAGAGATGACACGCCGCGGGGTCTATGGTTTCTATCATGTGCTTAATTAAGGTTTCTGTTTTTAATGTTGCACTTGATGTTTGGGGAGGTGGTAGGCAACTGGCCGGCTATTTGTAGTTGTGGTGATAGTGGTATCTTCTTTTTTTCTGTGGACGTGTTGTTTCAATGAGACCTTGTCACTGTTACCCTACTCTCCGGCTCAAAGCTTGGAGATCTCGTTCAGAGTTCAGAGTTGATTAAGTGAAGAAAGGCGAGAGGCATCAAATGAAGGAGTTCTTGCAAACTAGCCTAGCTGGCAGTGGCGACGGTCATGACCTCCTGGTTCAGAACTGCTTCAATCAAGTGGCATGGCAAAGTCATGCAAAGTCCATTAAGAGCACGGTCACCAGGATATATGTTGTGGATTTGAATGTTGCTTTTCCCGGAATCAGAAGATTGCTATTTTTGGAGTTGTTTTTTTCCAAGCTGTGTTGCTTTGTGCTTCGTTTCGGCAAAGGATTGGGCGGTTTTTTTGTCACATTCCTCTGAGCTTCGAGTGCTTTGGAGCCCACAGTCCCTCGGCCTCGGCGCGAGAAGTCTTGTCAATGTTCACCACGTCTTGGTGTAGGCAGTACTGAACCAAAGAGCTTTGGGGCCTCCAAAATTGCATAGGTGAGAGGTTCAGCAGCAGTGTTCAAGCCCACGTTTGAACCTCGCTAGTTGGCTTGAACATCGAACTCGCATCGCACAGCTGACCCCATACGCACCTTGATTATCCAAATGCCCAACCCTAAGGTCATAAGTCTAAGTAGGGCGGCATATCCTGCTTACAACTGGGTGATGTCGAAGTCGGTACTTCTCACTTCGGTGATGCTTGCCGTTTTTGTTTCGGTCCCACACAGACCGAGGCTTTTTTCTCGGCTTTGGTGCATCTTCGAGCTTGCGGCCTTCCGGAAGGCGAATCCCAAAGGCAAGATCGTACTGGCTCCACTGCTCCCTGGCGAGCGGAGGAGTGGCGAGCGTGGAGTTCCCAGAATCGAAGCAATTCGCAGGAGGCTCCAGACCTTTTGGAACCCCTTGTTTAAAAAAGTTGGCCGGTTAGATTATATAGGCTTCACCTGGTGAGTGGCTTTTGCATAAACTTTGAAGTCGACTTCTTCATTCTTTTGAGCTAAAGGATATGCATCGGAAAAATATGGGAAAATGATGGGCATCAACACTCTGAGTAGTAGGCAAAATCTATACCTTAAAGATCCTTAAAGCCAGGGACGACTCTTTCTTAGTTCGTTGGTGTATTTGCATGAGTTTAACTGTGTCCAATTGAAACTGAAAGTCCTCCAGTCTCAATGGAACCATGTCTCCAGATCTGCAGAGGCATATTGTAATCCCCTTGTTGTTTTGTGCAAATTGTGCCACCAATTTGTTACCATGGTTATCCTGTCCGGGTGTGTTTCTAGAACGGAATCCGGTCTTTTTGCACTCATTGTTCGCTCAGTTCATCACTCAGTTCGCTCATTCTAAAGGCTTCCAAAGTACCTTTGGCTGCGCCCACAATTAAAATCCTTGAGAAGCTATAGAAGTTGGTGGCAAGGCCCTCGCCCGATGGGATGTTCAACTTTTACCTCGCTGGGTGAAGCCTGGCGGTGATCTGAGCATCATTACCAAGTGCCAAGGTATGTGGAAATGATCGTTGGGTTTCTGCTGCTTTGGCTCCTCGACAAAGACTGGGAAGAGGAAAGCATGCGAGGGACAGTCAAGATTAATCAAAATTGTCCTCGTACACCAGCATGTGAACAACTACTTGGCACGCAGAGACTTCTCGGAAAGGTTGGCGGAGAACGCCGAACAGAGATTAATGTTAACTGGACTGATTGACGAATAGAGACTCTCCTACCTGGATGGTCAAGCATCTCGCGAGAAAATGAAAACACCCATGATTTGCAAGTGAACTTCACGCGTTGCTTTCGAGGATACCCAGGAGCAGCATTTTTGAACTGAACCCGTCATTTTCAGGTATTTAGATAGATCATAGATCCATGGTAATACGTTTTGCGCACCTGTGCCACTGATGCCCGGTGCAGCACACTGTTTTTGCAGAGGCTGGCCTTTATGCAGCTTCTCTACTTCTTGCTCCTTCAGGCCCCTTTGCCCAAACCTAGCCAATAATTGGCAGGGTGGATTTCCTGCTGGAAGATTTAAGACTTAAGACATCAAGGGAAGCACGCCTGAGTGGGCAGTCTCGCATGGAGTGTCATGCGTTGGGTATGTTGCCGGTCTAGGTGTGTGTGTGTGTGTGCGTGCGTGTGTTCATTATTCATGCCAGTGACCTTCGAACAAAGGACATACTCGTACCTCCCAGGAGAATCAATTAGAGAAGCTAACAGACCAACCTATAGAGTAATTTCCCCAACCACTGCTGGCAGTTTTCATGGTGCTTGTAGGTTACTTTGGGGCAGTGGGGATTGCCTGTTGTAGCTTTTTGTCTCTTGTGCATGCTTTGTGAAACCTTTCCAGACCAGTCGCATCCAGTCGCCAGGTCCTGCAATTCTCTTCTTTCATCTCCTTCGTGGGAATGGTGCCGGTCATCCCTTGTATCCACCAGACGCGGAAGATTTGTCGTGAGAAGCGGCGACTCTTGAATGAGCTCAAACAGTTCAACTTGAACGAAGCAGGCCGCGCGGGCCGGGCCAGTGCGTCGATGCGATGGAATTCTCCTTGTCGGCAGTGGCGGGACCTCGGGCTCCAAGTCACGGTGCACGAACTTGTGCATGGATAGTCCGGGCCGGTCCGGGCGGGCCAGGCCGGTCCACTGCGGTCCTTCCATTCTGTATCGGCCCTTGGTGGAATCCACCAAACCACACCTCAAATCGGTTGCCGGGTACACCACCGCGCCGGTGGCGTAAGGAGACCACCTGACGCAGTGGGCAAAGGAAGAATCTATGCATATTAAACCATATTAAACCCTTTTTGGCCCTCACTCGATCACAAAGGGTTTACATCCTGATCCAAACCCCAAACCGAAGGGTATGAATATCAATCGACCAAAAAGGGTTTAATCAAAACTAAACCCCAAGTACAGCTCCGTAGACTGACAACAGTAGAAAGGGGTTTATTCGCACAGACTAAAAACACTTTGCCGATCCCTCCTCCAACATGTTTGTGGATACATCTTGATGCATAGATTCTTCCTTTGCCCACTGCGTCAGCTGGCCTCCTGACGGCTGTGCCAGGGAAGGGAGTTCGCACGGGCCGGGCTGGGCGCCGGCCCGGGCCGGGGTCAACGGTAGACCCGGCTATCCATGTTGTGGGTACCCTAGGCCTTGAGAAGACCCACCTCCTCCTCAAGTTTTCAAGACCTGCAGGTTTTGGTCTAGATATGTCTAGAGTATAGATGTTTTCTTGTTGTGTGTTTTTATGGCCAATGGGTGAACAGGGTGAACCCTCTATTGATCCATCTCCATACGAAGACTTTGGCGGTTTCATTGGTGGAGCACAGCGAGCGAGCGAGCCATACAGTTGGATTTACGATCACCCGCTGAAAAGCACTGTCCACTGTCGACTGCCGGGCCCTAAGCCTAAGCCCTATAGGGCTTTCCAAGAAAGTTTTTCTCGGGCTTTTTCCAAGGTGAGCCATGCCGGTTGATATTGTTTGAGATTCTCAAGCACTGTACATGTTTGTGGTGGGAAAGTCGGAATTGCAGAGCAGTACCAACTGAACAAAGCGAGGGCTTTGCATTGCAAGAGATATCGGTATCCTTTTGCCAAGTTTACGGCTTTGAGTAAATTGGGGCCTGTAGTGCACGCTGGAACGAGAATCAAGTGAGAATCACGAAGTCCATCGGAGAATTGTTTGGTTTTACATCTCAATTCACCCCGAACGGACTGCAACACAGCTTATCACTATAGCTGCAAGAAGCAACCATTGATTGTCGCAGGCTGCAGCGTCGATTTCGATCGGAACTTCATTTTGGCTGGAATCGAAGAGTGGTATGGCACGCAGGAGGCGTTCACCGAATACGTGGCTTAACTTACCACGGCATATGGGAGGGGCATCCTCAGCATTCTGAAGTAATTAGCGAGATCCTTCTCAATGTTGCATTCCCCACGGCAGCTTTTGAAGCAATCCGCCAAACAATGAAGCAACAATCACAAAGCCGCACAAAAGCGGCAAGTAAAGCAAAAAGAACATCAAAAAAAACACACACACACACACACATAAATGCGAAGCGTTTATAGATGAACAAGGAAAGGCAGATAGGCAGGAAAAAAGGCACAGAAAAGACAACACTTATTAGTGTTTTGTGCACTATTCTTGCAACAGTTCTCGCGTCCTTTTCACACTTGTTCAATCTTGTTCATGTTCTGTTGTATTGTTGTTTGTTTGTCCGGTGTATTTTTCCGATATTTTTGTTTAGTAGTGTGTGGCATACTTGTGCTATTGCCCTATGCAACCTGCTGGCCCAATTCAACCCACTCAATATCATTTGAATCGAGCTGACTGATGAAAGTTTGTTTATATCCATTCGCTGTTGTGATGTTTTCGTGGTGATTCCATATCCTACCATCGATATTGTTGGGGCCCTTTTTCTCGAGATCAGAACAGATACAGTACAATTACAACGAAAGGAGTTCAAAGACATCCACCCAGTCAAAACTGGACGTGTAGGCGTTGAGTTTCTCGATCATGAACAATGTGGCATGTGGATGCATGTGGCATGTTACAAAAGGTAAAACGCCGGTTGGTGGTTGTACACTGTTCACTGAGAAGTTCTAAGGCGACTTATAAACCTGTTCTCTACAGTCCGATGCTACTTTCCCTTTATCTTGACCAAACGCGACCGCATTTCGGGACACCATGTGTTCTGATGGCTTCGTACCCAACTGTAAAGTGTTTGCCCAACAGCAGGTCTGCCATGACATCCTAAAGCTCCATGGCCATCGATGATCAAAGTGAAAAGTCTTACAACTACACGTTCAGTTTTGCTTCTGCAGCCAAAGGCGGGCCTTATTGACCCACAAAATACCATTAGATTGATTAGATGAATGAACAGCTAGTGCGCAACAGTCATCCATTGATTTTGGAAAGTTTGAAAGTGACTACTCACTAGTTTTGGCCATGACCCAGTTCTGGCATGTTCTGGGTGAAAAATCACAGCCCCACAAGCCAATTCCAAAACGGGCCTACAAAAGAAAGATGGTCTTCGCAACACTGACGCTATGCTGATGCCAAGCTTCCCACTGACGCTTCAGGTCCGAGGCCCTCTCTTTCGTGAGCTGGTGGCACCCTTGGAGACGCTTCGGGTCCCTGTGCAGTACTGGGCCACTCAGAACGAAAGGGAAAAATGACCCGAACAAAAACCGATCGGTTTTCTGGTTTCAGACGGGCGGTCATGTGCGCGGAAAAAACCGTGGGGGCGACAGGTGCACGTGATAGACATGTTATGGAGAATATGTGTGGTTACAATCTTTTTGCAGGATACAGAGCTGCATAGAGCTGCCAAGTATGATGTGGTTTGACGGTCGACTTGAACTGTCCTGAGGTCAATCTATTCGAGAATGAGGCAATATACTGTATTCTTTTGAGTTGTGAGTTTTGCAAGAGGTCGGTTTGCAGGACTCAACTTGCGCAAGGTATACAGGGCATACGTACTGGCATGTAGTGGGCATATGAATGATTGAACGTGGATTGAAGCTGTTTTTGGCGGTAGCTTCAGTCACGAAACGTGAAGCCGCTACGATCCCTCAAGCCAACCTGCTGGAATCCACCCCAACTTGTACCAGGATGGCCCAAATGGCCTGATTCTGCATGGAAATTGAATGAAATTGACACACCATGTCGTGCAGAAGCGTAGTTTTACAATGTTTGCTTCGTCCTCCATGACATGCTGAGGTCTTGTTGGGCCTCCATGAAATGAGCTCACTGCTGGAGTTCAACGTGGGCTACATGAGTGGTGGTGCTCCAGTCTCTTGGTCCTCCAGCCAACCGGGTGGGACAGGCCACGCACAGATGGGTTGATCCTCCAGGCCATGCAGGGGGACGCACGGGGTTGCAGATGTTGAACAGCTGATCTTCGATGAGACATGCAGCCATAACGATGAGAGCTAAGGTGGACGTTGTACTTGCTCAATTCTTGAGTTGGCCCATCAGCAACGTTCTTTGGCGCATCATTTCGTTTCGTTTGGGTCTATTTCTGTGTGATCGATGTAGCAGTCGAATGCCTGGTGCTTGTGGTTTGCTGGACTTCATGAAGACATTCTTAATTTGGGTCGTGACGCTTGGCTGCGCCAATAAAGTTCAACTGAAGTTTTGGACACGTGGGGACATGTGGGGCAAGATTTCGACCTCGTTTGGATGCGCGGACTTGCGGACTGTCTCGCTCGCGCCCACACCTCACCTTGCCGGGCTTTCCGGGGGGTCTGGGTGGGTGTACTCCGGTGACACCAGTGACCAAATGAAAGTATATACATCTGACCAAATGGATGTGAGAGCGTGCCCAATTCCGTTTAATACTCCTTGACTCCTTGTCAATAACTTTATCAGATCCGACACCAGACAAATGCCGTGCACAGGACGGTGGTGTTCCTCCTCAGCACTTTTGAAGTGACAGCGGTGGTTGAAAGATCAAGCTTGGTGGTCGCGAGTGCTGGAGCCTGCGTAACAATTGCGGTCGCGCTCTTCTCTCTTTGGGCCGCGACGGGATGATCAGATCGAAAGTAGGTTAAGAATGACCGAGTCCAGAGAATGCAGGCAGCTAAGCTGCTGAGCATCAGACTGGAAGCTCGCCAAAAGGGCGAGAGAAATGCTTCTATGGATTTGATTGCTTTTGCTTTATTCCTTCCGAAAGTTTTTCCCTTCGGGCATTGCTTGACTTGAGGTTTCACGGCAGCTGATCATCCATTCTCGCGCAAAAGCAAGCTCTCCGTCTCAGAAACCATGATCACATCCATCGCTGGGTGAATTTTTCAGAACACGTTACCACCAGCGTGCGCTAAAACTAAATATTTCACTGTATTCTTGCATATCTAGTAGACTAGTGCAAAAACACTATATTTCAGTGAGTGTATTATACTAAATGCTTCAGTGTCTTCAGTGTCACATAACCAAATTCCAAAAAACCCAAAAAACAAAAAAAACAAAAAAACTAAAAAAAACAAAAAAACAAAAAACAACCCAACCAACCCAAGACCCTCTGCAATCCATGAGTCTGTTTTTTTTTGGTTTTTCAACAGGTTTTGGACACTGCACTCAGGAAAACAGTTTCTTTGTGAGCATCTGTGAGCTGTGAGCATCTGTGAGCGTCTGCTTACAATCAATGCACTGCACAAAAACGATAGACAACCTCACACAGAACAAAACTTCAAAGCCTTGACAAAACCCAGCTAAACAAAAAGAACAAAACTGCGCCCCCATGAACCATCCCAAGACTTCAGACATGGGGTGTGCTTTTTTGGTTTTCTCGAGGTTAAAGAGAAAACAAAAAACAAAACTGCAGACCCCATGAACCATCCCAAGACTTCAGACATGGGGTGCGCAGCTGTTTTTTTCGTTTTTTCTAGTTTTCTCGAGATTCTGAAGAAAAAAATCTGCAGCTTCAGACATGGGGTGTGCATTTGTTGTTTTCTCGAGGTTCTGGAGAAAACCAAAAAAGCAAAAACACAAAACTGCAGACCCCATGAACTCCAGTTCACTTCTAACCGATTCTAACCGTGCTCTAAGTAAAACAAGTCGAGTTCAATCATACTTATTTATTGGAAGTTTGTTTAGGTTTGAATTGCATAATCAAGTTTTGATTTATGTTTGTCAGTTTTTGTAATTGAGTTGTAGTTTAAGCTAGTTTATGTTTTATACAGTTCAAACTCAATTGTTGTATATACACGTTGAATTTAATTCCTATTTTTATTTCCAACTTAATGATGATCAATTCTAATTTGATTTTGATTCGGTTCTAGTTCAATGCAAATTTAGTTCTAGTTCAATGCAAATTGAATTCTAATTCAACTCTGATTTCATTGTAGAAAGTGGGTGTTACTGGGGGCGTGATTTTAAGAAAACAACTTTTAGGGAAATACCATATATTATTTACAAAGCTTTCATTCGAAAAGCAACACACTCTCTAGAAGAAAGTTTGAATTGCATTAAGCACACAGTTAGATTGTGTAAAACGCTAGAATTACATTAGGTTTATACTCTCGACTAGTGACAAAGGAGTTGTAAAACGTATGGTGGGTTTTACAACTCCTTTGTCATGGGTCTTAAAGCATTTTTTGAGCAATGTACACAACTCCTATGTCATGGACTTTAAAGTAGAGAAACGCATCAAAACATGGTCACACAAGAATAGCTTTAAAAAAACAGAAAGCTGCCGGAAAAGATTAATAAATGACGTGAGATAGGAGTTGTAAGTACCAGGAGGCATGATGAAACATGATGAGCAGGCCGATTCTTATGTCATTTGTTCTGTGTGCATCAATTCCCCTCCCTCCCTGAAAACAAATAAGTAAAATGCTTGATCATCAGCTGGCGACAATTCCCAAGTCATGAGGCTTGAATCAGCAACTTTGCAATACTATGTCACTGGCCCACACAAGTCCTAAGTCACCGGTCGGTAGTATAAACATAAACTGCATAGAAATAAAACGGAAAATATGCAAACCATGAATTAGACTTAGATTTACATTGAATTCCAGCTCAAAAATATATATATATATGGGTTTTAATCATTACCAACATTCAATCGAATGATAAACAAAATAGAAAAACATCGAATTACAATAGATTTGAATCAGTTTGATTTTGATTTCAATTACAATTGAATTTCATTTAGGATTTGCAACTCTTGACCTTCTGACTCTGATGTGCTTAGCAAACTGCGTTCAATAAGAGCTACACAATTCATAAGATATCTTTAACAACAGTTTTGCGTGTGATTTGCGTGGAATTGAATTACATATAAGTTATTAAAGAAAATACTTAATTCAAATGTTTAGCACTTAGTTAAATATCAAACTACTTGCCAGCTACAAATACGGCAAAACCTTACAGCATCACAACTTTTACACTCCTATCAATGTCATATGATCAACAAAGACATCAAAACCTTGCAAAATCACAACTTTCACAACTCCACCACCTTTTTAATTTTATGTCATCTTTCTATTTTTCCTCCTACGCTATATTTTTTGCTGTTTTGAAACACATGAACCCGTTAAAAAAGCGCAGGCTCACAGTGACGAGCTCTCGAATTTTTCAGGTGATGTCCAAATATTAGTTATTAGCTTCAGCTTCTCACCCAACTGTTCTTAGCCCAAAGATTCAGCATGATTCAGCCTAAATGCCAAGAGCCTACTGTATATATATATATATATGTTATATGTATCGTTAAGATCAAGATGGCAGGGAATGCCAGGGTTTGTGCGATCGTCAAGCCACATGTATTTCAAGCGTGCTTGACATGAATGGAAACGCTGCCAACCTAATTAAGAGTTCTCGATCATTTGTGTCATGTTATATCATTTTATTCATGTTTGAAGATTCATGAGCCACACAGCTCCTCACGTTCGCAGGTCCTCAAAAGGCCAATCGTTCGCCCAGATCGTTCGCCCAGACTTCCTGGCCGTTCGTGGTTTTTCCTGACGCTTTAGCGGCCAAGGGCCGGGACCAATCCCACACGCTTCTTCCTGGGTCACGTGCTGGTGGCAGTACCTTGGTGACACCGTACCGGAGACAGTTGGAGGGCAGTTGGGTGCTAAAATCCCATGTGGGATCATGTGGGTTTCGTTAGCTAGCGAGTCCCTGTGTGATTTGATTAGGTGTCCAATAATTTTGCTGCATCTAGATGATCATAGATGTTGTTCCAGGGCTGTTCCTCTCGTTTTGGTCAGGGGAAAGAGGCCACCAGCTGGAACATCTCTTGGGTACTTCTTGCGACCGGCCACCAACCACATTGTGTGTATTTGTTTGTCATAGGTTGTCACATGCAGGGCCCAGCTAGCTGATGAACTGGTGGTGGTGAGGAAGCTAATCAAGGAGCCGGGGGTATGCATATTCCGCTTACTTCAAACAGGGAGCCAAGGAGCTACAAGGAGTTCCCTAGCCACCTGCGATGGCCTCCACCCTACTAGGGATGGCCCCCAACCTAATCGCCAACTTTTTTCGGGCTTTTGCGGCTTGCCTATGATTTTCGCACCACTGTTGACTTGGTGATGTTTCTCATGCCTTCCTTGAAGGAGCCTGAACAAGTCCCACGCTACAATGCACCAGGAGAATTCACCACAACATGAGCCTTTGGGTGAAAAAGAGCGTCATGTTCCAAACCCCTTTATGGGCTGCTGTGCTTTTTCTCCAGGAGGGTAGGTAGGCGCATGCTAGGTTTGCATTTTGATCGCTTCAGGTTTGCCTCGTGACGCTCACAGGTTTGTCAAATGATCGCCGTGCATGGCGCAACTCCCACAGACACAGAAGCAGCAGCATGAACGCCCAGACAAGCAGAGCATGGCTGCCTTATGCTATCTTATGCTCCTTTTCTCAGGCCAAATCTTAACTTGAAGGATACAGAGGAACATATATAATTCAGCACCTATTTTGATAACTAGACCGTTTTTGTTGCTCATGTGCTTTGTTTCCTGGGCCGGTCTTTTCTGATAAGAAGCATGGGTGTTGTGAAGGAAAGCACAGGGGGGGGAAATCAAAGTCCAACTCTCGAGCAGCCTGGCGCTTGAGCAGCCAATCGGCGCTTTTTGGTTCGGATGTACGGCTGGAGCAAATGCAGTTATATAGTAGATGACACAAACTCATAGACCTTAGCCACAAAGATGGTGATCCCTTTGTAGAAACCAGAAACCGCAGCATAGGAGGACTTTGCCACCTGTAGTGATGCCTGCAGCTTTCCAACGTGTCATCATGCCATGTCGTCCTCTTCCTCCTACAGCAGTTCCTCCAGCGGGGCAGCTGGTACCTTAGTTCGTCCTTTCTTGGTGCCCGACGATGCCCGACGGGAGCTGCGGAAGGCCCTCAAGGACGCCGAAGTCCCATGTCATGTGCGGCTTGCGGCACATGAATGCTCCCAGTAGCGTCCTTGCTCCTAGTAGTAAGGCCAGGAGCCCCTAGTGGTTTCTTGTTCCTAGTAGTAACGCCAGGAGCCCCTAGTAGCGTCCTTGCTCCTAGTAGCGATGCCCTTTGCTCCTAGTAGTGTCTTGTTCCTAGAAGGTGACGGGTCGAATCACTCGGGGCGACGAGGTGACGGGTCGAAGCTGGACGTGAAATCGTTGGCAGGAGCACAGCTTGCCCCTGGAGCGGCGTCATGGTTACGTGAGGCGCAAGTGGCAAATGGCAGGGTCCTGCAGGATTATTGGGCTCAGGTAGAGCCAGGTATGACTTAATTAGGTCAAACTGTCCACCTCAGAAGTGGTGATTCCTGCCTTCTACGTTTTCGTCGCGATCCAAAGATAAACCCGCCATTGTTCGTCCTTCTTTCACCGTTCCGTTCGTTGGGCGGTGCCACCGTGGCAGGCCCTGCCCTTTGCTGCCCTCTGGACGGCAATGTATTTTGAAGGACTTGGGGGAGTGTGGAGACACCAAGTGCGGCAACTATCGGCTGGGAAAATATGCCGCTGTCCGGCCAGACTTCCTGCAGTTTTGCGTGGATGCCTGCCTTACTTGGGCTTGTGACAAGGGGCAGGGAGACGACACAAAATTCAGAGAAGTAGCGGTGCCCTTGTTAATAGTAGCTTCTTGCTCCTAGTAGCTTCTTACTCCTAGTAGTAAGGCCAGGACCCCCCTAGTTGGGAACATCATTGAGCATCACCTTGAAGGAAGTGGGGGGCCGCGACACGTGACAGAGAATGCTGGAGAAGAAGTGCACACCGGTCCTTCATAGTCAGTCTAGAGTTTGCACATGTTCCAAGTGTATGCGTGTGCGATCGTGTGCGTTCAGCAACTGCGTGAATGGTTCATTGATATTGAGTATAATCTACATTCACATACTGTCATCACATACTTTGATTCTTGCTGTGGTCAATC